CCGAGGCTGTTGGAGATCCCCTCTGGAGGCAGGCCATTCCCAGCTCATGAGTTATGGGGGAGAGAGCCGGTTGCAGATGTTCAAGCTCCTCTCTAAGTCGGAGTCCCCCGCATGGCTGCTTTCCCCTCCTCCTGGGCAGTCTTAACTTATATAGCCCGTGAACTCGTTCACCTGGTCCAACGGAGGCCAGCACCTGTTGGCTGTCAGCCAACCAATTTGAAATACATCACTAGTTGCTGGGCAGACTCTAGCCCACCAGGTAGAAGCCCCTCACCCAGGTAGGTGATACCAGTCACATGGGCAGAGGGAGCAGGTTTCCCCTCTCCCTCAGGAATGTAGCCAGCTCAGGTTACCTAAAGAGATAGGGTAAGGGTGTGTCTCCTCTGCTGGGCCCATCCTAACCAAATTGTCAGAGGGCAGAGATTTTGGGGAGAAACAAAGGTGGCTTCCTGCCACAATGCCAGCAGCAGGAATCCAGAACACAAATAGGAAGGGAAAAATTAGTCTGCTTCTAAATGCTTCTGGTGATACCGTTTTGCAAAGGATTGACACCATCTGGCTACTACTGGATAACTCCTTGGCCACAGAAACCAAATTTTGGCCACTGTGATGTCTCTCTCCATGTGGCCTGCTTAAGGAGTCACGTGAACCAACTTCATGGCAACCTGCCACATCCTGCAAACTTACCCTCTCCAAAGAGTAACTTAGGAGTTAAATGTCCACCTGATTTCCTCGTCTTCATTGCTTGAGCAAGCTGAGCCTGCGACTAGATGGAGGTGATGTATGTAATAGGCATGATAACACATATGCAGGGACTTCTTCCCCCTGGCTCTTGCCTTCCAGAATGTATTAGTTTATCCGGATCAAAGATAAACTCTCTTTCATGCATTGCTAAACCACCCATCACCATGGCATCTGTGTGCCCTAGACAGGGGCAAGTTTCCAAACAATGAACTCAAACCCTACTGGATCAAATTCTGGATGCCTCCAACAGTTTTCTATCATGAATTACAGGGAGCTTCTAAATATAGAGGGTTTTATTCCTCCCCTCCAAGCGGCAGGCAGGAGGACAACACATTGCAACCAGAGGCAGAGGTGTTAGTTTGTGCAGGGAAGTGTCTTGCAGCAACTGACAATGACTCTTGGGTGCCACTATTTTTGGAACATGCCAGGTGTGTAATTATCTGGCCACACTTCCCCTCTGAGGGCAGTATTATTCACCAGGGAAGAACTAAAATGAAATCCAGCCATGGAGGAAGTGGATCTGCTCACAGTGCTTTAGAAACTGAGCCTGGTATTGTATTATTGCATTTATTGCAAGAATGGCCACCATCTGTGGGGGCTGGAGAATATTAGAACTATGTTGGTTTTCAGTTCCAGACTACTGAAAAAGAAAACCCCAAAAAACTCAACAGTCTCTGCTCTGCACCAGCCTCTCTATATTTTATTGGAGGTCAAACAGTAACAAGTAAGAGAACTTACGCCTTCCCTAAGCTGATATTGTGGTTGCTCTTTTAGGTACATGTCTGCATCCAGCAGAACTTCCAATCCTTGGCCAAATACACACAAAGCTAGACTGGATTTCAAACTGGGCCACAAACTACTATCAATGAACTGAGTCAGATGTGCTAAACCAGCAAGGGGCCTTGTGGCACGCATGCTGCAGGTCAGCCACCCCTGTGCTACACTGCAGGAGTCTAAACTGAAGGGGTGTTCAGGCTAGGCCACAATGCAGTGTCACCAATGGGCACTGATTTTATTGAGGAAGGAGGGGTGTCTGTGGACATGGGGGTCTGTCCATGTGGACCTGGTTGCAGGTTTTAGGTGCAAGTTTGCAACTGGTAACGCAGAGTGGTTGACCCTGCACAGAATGTATCCCTATATCTTACACGATTCCCAACAGTGATGTCCTCCCAGGCAAACAGCTGGCTGGAGGACAGTGCGGACAGTATGGTTTTTTCATAATTATACTAAACACCACTGAAAGTGCTCACATGACTGATCTGACCAATCTTCCTACCCCACCAACCTTGAAGAGCTGAGGACATCCTGAAAAGCATTGCTCTGGCTGCCCTGACACCAGTCATCCCATCCTATTCCATCCTGCCCCACCACCTAAATGTTGGAATCCTTTAAAACATCACAGTCTTTACCAAGCCAACCCCCATGAGCCAGAACCAGTGCCCTGGTGCAGCTTGAGGATCACAGAGCAATCAGATTGGCAGCTGCATGACACTATGGCATTACATGCAGGACAGCAAATAGCCACGCTGGCTGTGGACCCTGGACCTGGTACACTATATACTCATGGTAGGGGAAAGATAATCTGCTAACCTGGCAGCAGGAGTCTGAAGCAGAGGGGGAAATGATGCTCAGATTTTTCCAACTGATGGAAGGTGCAAAGCAGTGAGTGACAACAGGCACACAGAGATGGCAGCTGATCACACAGTCGGACCAAAAACCAAAAACACTGCTGTGTGGATGGGCATGCGTGCATGTGTCAGAGAAACCCACAGCGACTTGTGTGTGCGGCAGAGATGGGAATCGAGGGGCCTGGAACACAGTCCGGTATCAGCGTCACCCCGCAGAGGCTGGATACACACCACGGCAGCCGGGGTTTTAAATGGCCAGACACACACTGGCAGAGATGACAGCTCATCAAAGTTATGACCCAGCGAATGCTGCGTGCTTTCACCTAATCTATTCCCTCTCTGCAGTAACCTTGATTTGCACTCAGCAACAGCAGGACAGGCTGAGACCTGCTTACTAGCGACTTCTGTTTTTCAGCAGCAAACTCCCCGAAGCCATCCCGCTTCCCAGCAACAAGCGCCATGACAAGTGTGAATGGCTGTGATGGCAGACTACAGGCCAGATGCTGGGCTGGTGTAATTCAGCATTGCACCATGGATCTGAGTGGGACAATGCCAATTTATACCAGCACAGCATCTGCTCCTGATGCCTTGAAATGAGGTTGTTTTTATATCTGCCCCTGTACGTATCACTAACTAGGCTTTTTCTGCCTGCAGGAAATACTGCAAAGGTCATTTCACTGCCTCCTCAAAGGGGTGGGCACCTTTGGCAAGTGGCAGAGAAAAAGAGTGAGAGTCATTTCACATGCTAATTTATTCCCAGTGGCCAGTGAGGAATTATCATCTGCCCAAGTGGAAAAGCTCAGTTATTGTCTGAACCGTACCCTGCTGTTTAGACCAGGAGAATGAATGAAATCCAGAGCTCACCGATAAATGATGCCTTTCTCGTGGAGGAACATGAGGGCCGAAATAATTTCTGCACCGTAGAACTGGGCACGAGCTTCATCGAAGCGACGCGACTTCTGAATATGGAACATCAAGTCCCCACCATTCACAAACTCCATGACAAAAAACAGGCGGTCCTTTGCACACACGAACACAACAGAGATGAACAGCGTTAATCAGATCCTCCTGTCCCAGGCAGGGAGCAATTCAAATCAAAACCCTTCTTGCCCAAACAAAAACAGAAGAAATAACAACAGATGCTTTAAAATCTGGTCTTTCCAGGGAGGTTAAATAAAAAAACCCAAAGACCTTTCCCAAATCCCCCCAAAACCCCAACCCTTGTTTGGTAATGAAAGCAACCCTGGTTTGTATTTGGATTGGGAATATCAGGCCTGGGGTTACTGAAATATCCTAGAGAATTTAACAGGCAGTGAGAAGCTTTCTATAGGTGTTTTGGAGCAGTCATTAATCTGATTTTAACAGAGAATTTATATCCCTTTTATATAATTGCACAGACAGTTACAAAACTTCAGTCTAATCTCTACTAAGTGCTGCAGCTTTTTGGGGGTTGAATCTTCTTAAAACGCCTGTAGCACTCTATTCATTGTCTCCCTGCTATAGTCTATAGGGCTTTTACATACAGGTACGTGTATATATTATGTAGTCAAGGTTTTTTGGGTGAATTTAATATATTTTATTAGACCAACTAAATAGTTGGAGAACAATTTTTAAGCAAGCTTTTGGGTTCAAAAACCCTTCGTAAGGCTCAGGAAGTTTCAGCAGTTGATGTGTGCTTTTCTACCCCTATATTATGCAGTAGCAGTAATAGCAAAAATACATGCTGCAATACTTTCAGTTCTAGGATGTCCAAAATCACCACCCAGGAAACAGATACTAGGTTTGCAAATGTAACTAGGCTGTTTTTTGACAAGATTGCTCACTTTATCATTTCCAAACAGAGTTTGTAATAATGACAATAATGAACTCGCATCTCCTGGAACCACTCCCAGAGAATTTTTACTGCCTTACAACATGGGATCCCCGCGGTTCACCTACACGGAAACTGGCTTCAAAACCTCGACATGGCAAGACTTTCACATATTCCTGATTAATCTACAGACCCTCATTTGACGCAGAAACTGATGAAGAGAGCAAACAGTAAAAGCTTCTGATGTGTGAAGGGCCAGTCTCTAAGAGCTTGTAGTTAATGAGCTTCACTAAACAGCTGCTGTTCTCGGGGCTCTTTTTTCTTCCCTGCAAGGGTCCATCCATACTCAGTAAGCTGTTGAGCCTGCAGATTCGGCAGCTGGGTCTCCAGCTAAGCGATCCAGATGAACAAATTTAGGTTGCGAAAGTGCACAATTGGTGCAGGCTCAGCCCTTTTTGGACATGCTCCAGCGTACACATGAAAAACTGGCTATGAAAATAAACCAGAGGCTTGGGAAAGGCTGGCTCAAAATTCGCTCTGACCATTCAACTTTATTATGCGTCATTTGCTGAATTGCTTCACTTCTGCCATCTTCATCCCGAACTGCAGAACAGAGCAGGCCGGGAAAGTGAACAAAGGACTAGCCTGAGAAAGCCTAATAACCTCCTGGTGCTTTCTGGCTTTGCTCTTCACCAAATCCTTGTCCTTGTCTGTGCACTTATCACCCGGAAAAGGGGTGTCCAACTTCAGAGTGGCTGGGGGCCACCCCGGGCAGGCTGAACACCCTCTGGCCTGCACAGCTCATGGGTCCCCTGCTGCACCACCAGCCATGGTGCCGTCCCCCCAGCCCACCTGGCTGTGCCATGCCACACAGGGGCCCTGAACCCTGGGATCCGTGTAACCCATAGCTGCTACCATTGCCATCACGGGGATTCATCAAACAGCTCCTAGAGGTGATGGGACCTTTTTGGCTGTCTCCAGAAGCAACAGAGCCAATATAGTTGTGCCCCTACAACCTGCAGTGTAAAAATACTGAGGGGAAGCATTTAGGTGTAGCATTAAGGCTGTCTGAAATCCAAGGCCTCACTGGTTTGCCCTGCCCTTAACTACGGAGACATCCAAGTTGCACCCCATGCAGCAGCACGGCATGCACATCCCCACACTGGCTTAAGTAATGGCTGCAGCACTGGGGACTCTTTTGAGTGGCTTGTCTGAGGCTGCTGCTACTATGCCTCCACTTAGGTTGTTATCGGTGGACTTTATCACATGTTATACTTAGCACGTGTTAACAGCACTCCAAACACCAGCGCCCATGTGTGTAAGCGGTAAAACACATGCCAAGTGCCACGGCTGCATTGCTACTTAGTGTATTGTTGCAAAGTTACTGCTTTACGCGGGGCCATCTCTAGATGGTCTGTAGTAACACGTGTTCGGTTATTGTGGGGTTGCACCACACAGGTAACAGCTGCATGTCGGCCCCAACCTTAGGATCCTGGTAGAGATGGTTCAAGACTTCGGTGAAGGCAGGGACTGATACCACACGGTCAGTCCCACCTTGTCCAGATTGTAGGAAGCATTACCATGCAACCGCTCAAAACACTGACTTCTGGTAATGCTTACAATGTGCTGCATAAAATATGCATCGTGTGTTGCAGGCAACAAGGCCCTAAGCTGGCCTGACTAAATCTAGCTGTGATCTGTCTGCCAGGGTGGCAATCATACTGGCAAGTGCAGTCTTGTGTCTACCCAAGCTGACTTCCCTTTTCTTCCCCTTTGTCTCTCTCCCTTTCTCTTTCTTCTGATCTCTGTGCACACATGCAACCAAGCTGCACTACAGCCAACCTCTCTGCCCGTGTCCTGCTTTAAAATTACATTCTCGGATACAGCCTGCAGGAAGTTCTTTACTTCACTAGCAACTTATTGGTAGGATGGTCATGTTTTTGGAAACTCAAATTGGGATGCTGCACTCCCTCCTGCTCCCACATGCTCAGCTGTCTCTGAGCTCTGGTCTGAGCTGAGAGTGCCAGACAGCAGGGGAGGTGGAGAACCAGCAACCCCCTCTTGTGCCCTCTGGCCCTCTCTCATTGCATTTTCACTGAAAAAAAAAGACAAATCTTATCAAACCAAGGGGGCACCCAGGATAAGTGTTTAAAATGGGACTGTCCCAGTGGAAATGAGATGTATGGAGGGTAGGGGTTCTTATCAGTGGGTCTGATGGGCCACCATGCAGAAGGTGGAGTGCACACCCAGCCCCTCTGCAATCCAGCCATTACACCTTTCCTGGCCACAACAAAAAAAACCACCCAGAAAAATCCCACTTTCAGCATATGACATCAAACAAACCATTCAGCCACATCACTGTCACCATGGCGTTCTGTATGCATGTTTGAAGGCACTAAGGCATCTGCCTTTTCCTGAAATTCAGCTTTAAAACAAAAATGGAAACCAATCCCTGACCATTTTCATTCATGTGTTGCGCATCCTAAATCCCAAGCTGATTTTCTGTGGCACCCTTGTGGGACACATCTCACATGTTTTGGGGCTTGCTAGTACAAATTTTCACACTGCCGATCCTTGCTCTCATATTGCATGCTTTGATGAGCACTGAAACCACCAATGCCAAAGTCTTACGCTTCAGAAGGAATAACCAAATGCACCAAAATAAAACTGGGAGCAACTGGCTAGGCTGCGATCCTGCAGAAAAGGACCTGGGCATTATAGTGGACCACAAGCTGAATATTAGCCAAAGTGTACTCCTGTTGCAACAAAAGCCAACAGCATGCAGGAAGGCATTAACAGGAGTTTCACATACAAGCCGGGGGAAGTGATTCTTCCACCTGTAATTCAGCACTGATGGGATTTCACTCAAGAAGTACTCTGTCCAATTTTTGGGTGCTTCACTTCATGACAGACATGGATGGACAAACTGCAAAGACAAGAAGAGCCACATAAGTGACTCGAGGTTTTGAAAACTTGATTTACAAGGAAAAGTTGCTTAGTCTGAAAAAGGAAAGCCTGAGAGGAGATTTGATAACAGCCTTCCAAAAGCGTGGTTATAAAGAAGATGGGGATCACCTGTTCTCTGGGTGCACTGGGGATTACCCAGCTGAAGTCTTTCCTTCTCATTTTCTCCAGCTAATTGCCCAGTTTGCAAACTTTTAGCAGCCCTTTCTGCCTCCCATGATCCCAGAGTGCTCAGCACAGATCAGAGCAGCCTCGGGCTAGTGCTGGGGAATAACTGCTCTTTCACATTGCTCTGTGCTTCTCAGAAACGTCTCCCTGACCTGTCATCTCTGTCCGATGCCAGCATTCAAAAGAAACAGAGAGGGCTGGAGTCAACAGGAAGCTGTGACGTTACTGCCTGTGCAGCAACAATAGCCACATTGGGAAATCACACTGCCTCATTTCTGGCCTGGGATCAAGCTGAATGAAGCTACAGAGCAAATGGTTACTGTAAATTAAAGAAGTCTTCTCGTGAAATAAGAGCAGTGAAGGCCGGTCAGAAGGGTTCGTTCGGGTGCTGGCCGGGGTCCAGGCTGTACCGCCAGAACTTCTGAGGAAGGAAAATGGGGATGTTTGCTTTCTCCCCCCCCCCAGCGTGGTGCCTTGCTTATCTAGATTGCAGGAGCTGAGAGTCCTGCCCCCTCCTAGCACCACCACCATCTCAGGTCATCCAGGTCAGAGCCTGAGCAAACTCCAACCTAAAACTAATGCACAGGATGAGGTTGGCCCGTTTTACAACCTCACTCCCCCGACGGTTAGAAATGTTATTCTGATTTCTAAGCAAGTGTTATCCATGCATTGATCGGTACCATGTCTATCCTCTGTATTCTCGAGCTCTTTTCCCTCTCTGTCACTGAATATTTACCCCACTCTAAATACAGACACCAGGTATATCCCCTCCTGGCCTGGGTTTGGCTAGGTGGGGAAACAAGCCAAACTTATAGATGAGCCCTCTGTTCTGTCTACTCTAGCAGCTCTTCTCAAGAGAAAATGGATTTCCAGGGGACCGGGCCAGCCAGACCAGAACAATTTGCAGTAGCTGATTAAAACTTCTGAGGTTAGGACTGGAGGAGACTCAGAAAGGAAAACGGTTGCTGATTTTATGTGCCTCTCTGGGGCACTGAAGACCCCAGGCTGGAGGGAAAAGCCCTTTGCTTGTGTGCATCCTTTACAACTGCCCAATACAGAACTGCAGGGGAGAGATCC